CTTCCAAAGCAACAGAAGGCAGGACAAGAAACAATGGTTGGAAACTAATCAAGGAGAGAAGCAATCTGGAATTAAGGAGAAACTTCCTAACAGTGAAGACAATTAACCAGTGAAACAGCTTGGCATCAGAAATTGTGGGTGTTCCATCACTGGAGGTTTTAAAGAAGAGACTGGACAGTCACTTATCTGAAATGGTATGCGTTTGGGTTATGGGTTATGCTTGAGCAGGGGGCTGGACTAAAAGACCTCCAAGATCCCTTCCAGCTCCTGTTCTGTTCTCTTCTGTTCTGTTTTGTTCCGCTCTGCTCTGTTCTGTTCTGTTATTTCAGTTCTTTCTTGCACACCAGAGCAGGAAGAATTACTTAGAGTATATCGTCTTCCTCTCTAGTCAATCTGAATTCTTCTCCATCAATTTATATAACTTGATATCGTGCTATTAAAGTAAATCTGGAAAAGTAGTCTACGAATAGTCCCCGGCTTACGACCAGTGGCTTAGCCACGTTCAAAGTCAGAACGGACCTTGTAAAAGGTACGTATTACCCAATTTAGAAGTCCCCGTATCTGGCCCTTTCCTGTGATTACATGAGCGCATTTTGGGTGAATGGCAACCAGCCCGCATTTACGCCCATTTGCAATGGCCAATGAACATGTGAACACGATTTTCAGCAATTATTTTGCCAGAATCTGGGGTTAACTTGTGGTTTAGAGCAAAAATCGCCCATTGGGGAATATGGATTTGCTTAATGGCTGTGTTTTTCACTTAATGACTATTGTAAAAAGATCATAAAATTGATCGGCTTAATGATCACCATGACTTAACAAGTGTTAAGTTAAGTGAATCCGGCTTCCTCATTGACTTTGATTGTTAGAAGGTCGCAAAAGGGAGATCACGTGATCCCAGGACACGGCAACCGTGATAAATATGGACCAGTTGCTAATCATCCAAATTTTGATCACTTGATCACGGGGATGCTGCAACAGTCGTAACTTTGAAAAAACGATCATAAGTCAGTGCCATTGTTTGGCATTCTTCTTTGTTTCCATGTTTCTTCTGTGCTGCTCCTCCACTGTCAGAGCAGATTCTTAGAAAGGTTGGGGAGTGAGATTATTTTATGGAATCGGACAAATACAGATACTTTTAAATTAATTTGCGCTGTCTGAGAAGTCTTAATGTTTGTTTTTTTGTTTTCCAAAATTATGGGTGTTGGTTATAATGTGCTTAGAAATCAGTTTTGCGGTTTCTTGATTTTGAGGAATAACACTTGAAATGTCAGAGAGGTTTAGAGAATTTTCTGATGTTTGTCTGAATAAAGCTTATATAATCTTTGAGGCAATTGGTCTAAAAGGTTTTATTTTGGATTTGTTTTTTGGGGGGGGGTTGAGTCTCGATCGCATGGTTAGAAGAGCATTTGTTTTCTTCCATCTAATTTATATTATGAAAATAAAGATTCTAATTAGGTCAAAGTTTGTGTATTGTGTATGTTAGTGTTTCTCGAGTCAGCCGCTGGGAACTGAAGTCTAAATATTGTCAAGGTACACAAGGGGAGAAATCTGTTCTCCAAAGCAACTGAAGGCAGGACAAGAAGCAACAGATGGAAACTAACCAAGGAGAAAAGCAACCTAGAACTAAGGAGAAACTTCCTGACAGTTAGAACAATTAACCAATGGAACGACTTGCCTCCAGAAGTTGTGTATGCTCCAATCCCTGGAGGTTTCTAAGAAGAGATTGGACAAGCATTTATCTGAAGTGGTATAGGGTCTCCTACTTGAGCAGGGGGTTGGTCTAGAAGATCTCCAACGCCCCTTTCAAGTCTGTTATTCTGTTAGTCCTTCATGCTACCATATGTGAGAAGTCCATTGAATAATTTGAGAATATGGTCCTTTCTTTTACGGTTCAAATAAGACAGTGAAGATCAAAGAGGAAGCTTAGATGAATGTGCAATGGACTTGTCAAAACATTCTATTCCTCCTAACGATTAAGTTTAAAAGAAATGTGAAAAAAGCAAGGTCAGGATCACCATTTAATTTGGTTCTTGGATCACTATTTAGCTTCTAGCATTTTATGTAGTGTCTTTATGTAGTTTCTGAATGATCTACTCAAGGTGAAGCAAAATGGAGGGAGTTTAGGGTTTAGCCAGCCATGATAACTCCCAGTGGATATAGTAGTTATGAGATCAACTGCAAGGACGTTAGAAAGATTACTTATTACCTCCAAGAACTTCCCATTCAAGTCTGATTGGGTGGTGCCTAGTTGAAGGATTTAGGATGGAGGGACCGAGAGTGATAGAGAAATTTAATGGGAAATTGTAAATAATGATAATTAAATGAAATGCGCCCAGAAGGTTGCAGTCCATGTAGAAACGGAAGTGGTCTTCTTTGCACAAGCAATTGGGAATAAGTGTGAAGGATTTTGATAAATCTTCAGACAGGTGTGAAGCTGCGCAAGAACTCTGAGAAAAAGTAGTATGGATACATGGACCCAGTTGGTGGCTCTCAAATTGATACTGATAAGAGAAGAATGAAAGCAATTTTTCTCCCAGCCTCAACTCTGATCCTTTTATTCAGCCAGCAGCAAAACACATTAGCATGTAAACTATTTACAAGAATTTGGATCAAACACCGTGAGAGTCAAATCTAGGAGGACAATGCATGTTGAGGGGAGTCTTCAACGTTTACCCGATGTTTTTGCTATGCTCCTCTGGGTGAACCTGTCATCAAGGGCCTCATGGACAACCATACAGATGAATTCTGCGCCGCTATACCATTCCGAATCAGAGATTGTCAATTTGCTATAGCGGAAGAAGGACTCATCCCTCTTTTCTTTCACGGCTGGGGTGTTGACGTAGTCATCTTCTGAAATGGGATTGCCATTCTTTAGCCACTGGACATCATTCTCAGGTGGGGAAAAGCCTCGAATCATGCAGGTGATGATACGTGAATTGCCAGGGATGGGAGGGTAGATGTGGATGGATGGTGCCTTGCTCTTTTCTTTGTGAATATGGAAAGAAAAAGATAAAGAAAGTCACATATTATTTAGATTAGGATAAAGTTGTGGAAGCCGTGACTGGGTTTCCATATATTAAGTCATGACGTATTGTAGATTGCCAGCCTCTGATGACTGGTTCACTTGTGAGATTGAACAGATTAGCTACAATTATAACTTCACAGAATCGACTCTGGGTTCAGATAGCACTCCAAGCCAAAATAAAACTTAACGTGATAGAAAAAGCCCAGGAACTTGGAGTAATTAATATTAGGAAGACAGGACATGCAAGTCCTCTGAAGTGCTTAACCCACCTGACTACGTCATTTCACATAGTCCGTCTCGCTTTTGGTCAGTGATGTGCCTGTTATATCGGCTGTGTGTGCGTTTGGAAGATTATTTAATCAAAAGCTGCATAAGGCCTCCAATAAGATCCTCCAGTGTAACAAGAGGAAACCAAAGTCTACACCGGGGACATTTCATGTTAGAGGGTGGCACCACAGGAAAGCCATATCTCACTTTGTTCTAACCACCTGCTTGGTTT